TTAATTAATAAAATATTAATTTAAAAACTTAAATAATTATAAATTTAAAATAACTATTTAACAATTACAATTAAATAATAAAATTTCACAATTACAATCAAAATACTAAATAAAATACAGTTAAAAGTAGTTATAAATAATAATACATGGATAAAATTAGTTAGAAGGGCCTGCATTGTTGAGGCGATGCAGACATTTTTTTTGCATGTGTGGTTGTTGACAGATACCGCATCGTCTTTTTATTTTCTCAACAGTGTCCATTTCAGTTCTAATGCGAGTACTGTTTGGACGACCTTTTTTGTTTTGTCGCATCCTTTCATCATGCAAAAGAGTATCGCCCAAATATGGAGGCCAGCTATCTTCTTGGGAACACCGAGAAAACTTTGTATGTAAACTTTGAAAACGTTTATAACTCTATACAAGTCAGGAATAAACGTAGTATAGTCGTGGTTAATGTGAGAACACGCTGCGATAACATGTGAGCAAGGCATATGAAAAGTTTGAAATCTCCCACAGTCACAAGTTCGTGTTTGGAGGTTGACGTTGAAATGAGTAAGTGGCCGATAATTCCTATTATTAACTGTCTCTTGAACCACAAAATAGTGACTTTCACGGTCAAAAGCCAAAACATTATAACTGTGGGATTTTTCTACTTCTTCTGCAATTCCTTTCATGCAGTTATCTGTGAATTCCTTTCCCGATGACAAATTTTTTGTCCAATCCTTTCCTCGCTTACCCCACAATGTTCCCATCTTGTAGTATGTTGATCTTACAAGTGATGTAATAGGTAAGTTTCGGGTTTCCTTCAACAATGATTTCAAAGATTCAGCAAGGTTGGTTGTCATGTGACCCCATCGTGCTCCTCCGTCGTAAGCTCGCGACCATTTTTACCTTGGAAGGTTCTCTATCCAATTGAAAGCCTCTGTGTTTGTTTGGCGGATCTCCTCCCGATAATATGCGTATGTAGACTCATTAATTGCATACCCTGCGTAAAAGCATTAAAAACATTAATATAAAAGAACTATATATTGAAATGCCATGTTAAAAATTAGAGAGTAATTACCCATGTTAACAACTGTCTTGCGAAGGTTTTTGTCCTTGATGGCTCGCATGAAGTTTTGTGCGATGTGCCTAATGCAATACACATGCACCAAGGGTGGGTTCTGCCAGCCATTATCTGGGTTATTATAGGCACTCTTAATGGACTCATGTCGATCAGATATCAAACATAAGTCTGATTAGGGTGTGACGTGGAGTCTCAAATTTTTCAGAAAGAAACTTTAAGCCCCCGGTCTCACCTTCGACCAATGCATATGCGATTGGGAAAATGTTACCATTCCCATCTTGTGCAACAGACAGGAGCAATGTTCCCCTATATTTTCCATACAGCCATGTACCATCTACCCGCACTATAGGTTTACAATGTGCGAAACCCCTAATTTAAGGTTGAAATGCCCAAAAAAGGAGATGAAAAATTCTTGCACCACCAATTTGTGTTCCTTCATTTGAATATACAGGAAGTGTTTCAAGATTTATGACAATACCTGGGAGAAATTGTTGCATGACTAGCAACCACTGCGGAAGGTTGTTGTAAGATTCCTCCCAATTACCATAAATATCTTTGTTTGCTTTGTTCTTTGCAATCCATGCCTTTTTGTAAGACACGGTGTAGCCATAAGTCGTAAGAATATGAGCAATAATATATCTAACCTTGATTGCCGCGTCACTGTCAACAAGAGGTCTGATGTTATGAGCGATCATCTTTGAGGTAAGCTTTTGGTGATCTTGAGATATAGCAGTCAACATGCAAGTGTGTGGCCCTTCAATTCTGCCAATAACCCATTTACCACACCCCTCCCTTAACGAAGCTCTACATGTGAAGTTGCATTCCTCCTTTTTACATTTAATTAAATAATGTGTCGGATCAGACTTACAAACCTTAAAAGTATAAGAATTTTTTATGTGATACTCAGATATTGCATGGAGACATGCTTCTTTGTTTTCAAATGTCATACCAACCTTTAAGTCTTCACGTGACTCACGTTCGTCTAAGGATTCAAAGACTGAAATTGGTTTCACACATTCAAATGAAACATTTCTTAAGTGATAAGGTGGGTTGTATAAATAAAGTATAGGAGTCTGGTCTGCCTCCAGTCTGTCATCGTCACCTGACTCGTCACTGGATCCACTAAACAAATTAATTTGTATGGAATCATCGGAGTCAGTATCATCACCCACTTCCTCTTCCGGAAATATTGGCTCGTTATGTTGTGCTTGGACAGACTCTTCTTGTTGGGAGACCTGACTTTATTGATATGCATGAGTTTGTGATGATTGTGTTGGATATACTTCCTACATTTGTTGAAAACAAATATACAACTCCATTGTTTGTTGACTGCAAAACCTTGAGTGGCATTGAAGCATTGAACAGACATCTTCACCGTCTTCGATTTTTGCAGTGTTGTGTGTGACATTGTGATCAACTGGATTAACTATTGGAAATAGATAAAAAATAGAAGTTACATGTTGTTGTAAAGTTTCTTCTATTTTTTTTCCGTCAAGTGGGCTAAATCACTTTTTCGATGAATATTTAAAATATGTGTATCTGTATTTTGAAAGACCACTCCAATATTATCGTCGGTAAAAATATTACCATTGAAATATAAGAGATAAGAAATATGATTTTGTGGCATTGTGTTTGAAATAATATTCAATTGTTTGAATAAGAGACAACTACGTTGGTATTAATAAACAAACAGCTATGTTGGATTTATTGCATGCATGTATTAATAAACAAATAACTATTTATTGGATTTATTGCGCGCATGCTGTCGCCAACTCAAATGGCGTAAACATGCTCAGGGTACACTCACGCCAACTGAAATGGCGTGAAGCCTTGGTAGGCGCCAAGTCAAATGGCATGAATAGTACACTCGCGTCAACTAAAATGACGTGAAGCATTGGTATGCACCAAGTCAAATGGCGTGAAGCATTGGTAGGCGCCAAGTCAAATGGCGTGAGACCATAGATGCTGGCGTGAATAGCATACGTGCCATGCATATAAATGCAACATTAAACGATTCTGTTTTCAGATTAAAATGACTCTGATACTTTGTTCAGTATACATTATTCCGTATAATTCACAAGTTGCTATGTTTGATTATAGAAACACATTTTCTAACCCTTTGGTTGTACGGATTATGGAAAGATCTAAACTCATTCACTTGAAAAATCAATTACGTCAAATCACAAATATTAATATGAGCATTACAGAGATATCTTTTAACCGGGATACAATCAACAAAAATGGAGTGTTGATGTAGCATATTACAAAGTTAGTTACAAATACATATGTATTTAACATGTTTGAGGATTTTCGAATTGGTGTTAATAAAACACCGTTTGAGTTGTATATCAGATTCAGTAGATCAGCCGATGAAGTTTTATCATTGTGTACAAAACCGTGTAATTTACAATATTCTCAATAAGTATAAAAATTTATATTTATTCAACTTTCATTAAATTACTCTACTACCTACCAACTCTAATTAAATTACTCTACTACCTACCAACCACAATTAATTAAATTATTCAACTACCAACCAACTATCATCACTCTGAATTTTTTCCTATAAATACTCAATCACTCTCACCTCATTTTCCCACAAACACACTACATTCTATTCACTACACACTCTCTACTCTCTTTTGATAAGTCTTTAATCAGTTCTTTATTTTCACAATTATGACCAATATGTTTTGGTATGGTACACAACATAGGGGAACTGTAGAAAATATCAATGCTATAAGTATTTTTGATTTATTCAATATTATTCATATTATTTATTTTTGAGTTTACAATATTAGTTTTATTCATAATTGCATAGAAATGTTGAATATTTTTTTATATTACTTATTTCTATTACAAATTGATGATACTTATATTTCAAAATGGAGAATTCGTGCTCACAATCCTCTAAAGCCACATGCAGTCATAATCCCTTACCTTCACCAATCTGATTTCTACCATGTATCTACAATAGGGTCCACACACATTGATTCAAGGTTAATTATAGCCTTACTAGAACGGTGGAGACCCGAAACTCATACATTTCATCTTCCAAACGGTGAATGCACAATTACATTGGAAGATGTGAGTATGTTATTAGGGCTTCCTGTAGATAGTAAAGCGGTAAATGGTCCATCCGAGCTATGGTGCATGGAGTTCTATTTTAGGGGATGAACCACCACAAAGTGATAAGGGAATGACTGCGAGGTTGACATGACTTAAAGACATGTACCAACATGAACCACCAACCGAGGAGTCACCTGAGGAGTATAAAATTAAACATGCTCGTATTTATATCTTACTCCTTATCGGGCAAGTTTTGTTTCCTAACAAAAGCGGTAATACTATACACTCAAAATGGAAACAATTTGTTGTGGATTTGGAAGATTGTGCAAAATTGAGTTAGGATTCCGCCATTTTAGCTAATCTATATAGGGAAATATGCAAGTCTGTAGACATAAAAGTAACAAAGATGTCAGGATGCGTTTTACTTCTTCAACCTTGGGCTTTTACACGCATGCCTATAATATCTCATGTGGCTCCGCTTCAAGCTCCATGTCCTTACGCAAGAAGGTAATATTTAAATTTAAATTTAAATTTATAATTAAAATTGTTAGGATACTTTAAAATAAAGTTTAATTTTAAATTCTTTTTAGGTGGTGCATCAAGAAACTTGACTACCAAAACAACCCGCGCCACCATCTACAAGGATACCGATTCAGGATTGATCACATGCTTCAAGATCAGATTTTTTTGTCTTCACTTTAATACTTTTTATAAATTTATGAATTTTATTTTGGTTAAACTAACAAGTTTTATCTATAACTTTCAGTTTATTTGGAGGCCGTATCTTGGATTAGCGCCCCAAAGGCACGAGGACAGTTTGATATGGAGTTGAACTACGTATATAATATGTTTTCATATTGTAGAAATGCATCAAGCAAATAGGATCAAACTACAATTTGGACATTTACAAGGGATACCTGAAGAACCTCGATGCCTGACTGAACACCATAAGATGACAACAACAAAAGCGCGCCAAAAAGCATATACCACATTATACTCTGATGAACAAAACTGTTGGTTGCATCGAGAATTGTTTATGTTGGATGGAGATCAATTACAAATAGAGGAGAAACCATCAAATGAGTACATGCAATGGTATCACTCGCTTCCACATGGATATGCATCGTACGAACAATTTCTCACTGACCCTCGTCAAAATCAATATTCCCTACTCAGGCAAGTGACTCTCAACAACCTCACCACTCACAACATTCTCAACCTTCTCATCCTCAATCCTTCCAACAACAAACTCCTCACTTTTCCCAACATCAAACACTCATCCCCCATTATCCTGAACAACAAACTTCTAACCCTCATTTTTCTCAACTACAAACTCCTGCCCCTTATTTTTACCAAAATCAAACCTTTAACACCCAATACCCGCAATCTCACTCCCAACCAAATCACATTTATTAATCCCAACAACCACAAATATATCATAGACCAACTACACAATTCACACCCATCATGTGACCAAACTTCGATTCCTCCTCCCAACATAACCCTACAACGCTTTATTTTCCAACCATGTGTCCGCCACAACAACTGCAATATAATTTTGACGAGCTCCTAGTCAAGAAAATCCTCCAACATCAGATGCAACACAACAAAATCCTCCAACAACAAAGACCGAACAACAATATGGTTTTGGTCATCGTGCTCTGCGACCGCGTTATTGTTTTACCGGTACTCGTTTCGGACCGGATCATCAGCATTAAATAGTGTAATTGTGAAATTTTAACTGTATTTTTTTATTTAGTATTTTGATTGTAATTGTGAAATTTTATTATTTAATAAAAAAATTATTATTTAATTGTAATTGTTAAATAGTTATTTTAAATTTATAATAATTTAAGTTTTTAAATTAATATTTATTAATTAATTTTATAATTAAATAATTTATTAAATTATTTGTAATTAATAATGAAATTAAATAATTAAAATTATTAATATAAATAACGGAAAAAGAAGAAAACGAAAAAAAAATTATCAAGTCCTTTCACGTCATTTGAGTTGAGAAAAACCTTTGCTGCCCACATTCGCGCCATTTCAAATGGTGTGAACCCTACTGTATATGATATTTTAGATATTTTTTTTTCCATAATGTAACATTCTAAAAAAATTGATTTGAAAAACGTGACATTCTAAAAAAAATTCGTCATCCTCAGTCAGTCTCATCCTCATCTAGAAGGTGGTGTACTATGTCCATAATAATGGGGAGTCAAAATTTGAAAGGGCAGTAGAAAGAGTTTCCTCTGTTAGAAATTAAGGACCACTTGGTTTTGTAGTTACTTGAACTAAACCAAAACTTACACCAACCAAACCTTGTTGTTGCTGATGTGTGTGATTTTTAGTGATAGATTCAGTTTTCATGCGTTGTCGGCGAGTTTGTTGGACACGTGTTCTCCACTGACGGCTATACTTTTCCGAGGAATCTTCTTTCGTGTTCTTGTTCTACCCACGGTCACACTCCAATGTGTCACACTCTTTCCACGTGCATTACCGACTTGCTTAGGCTAGACTCATTATAAGGATGGATATATTTGAACTGTTTTATTTTAAATCCACCTATTTATTATTTTTTGAACAAATGAATTAGATTACATTGAATGTCGATTTCACCGAGTTATTTAATTTGAGTATTATATGATTGATTCGGTTGAACTCAGATAATTATTATAGATCCGTTGTAAATTAAACTCCACTAAATTTAACAAATATTTATTTTATATATATTTTTACTAATTTAGAGTTGAAGTATTATAAAAATAGATTCATAATATTATTAAATTACTGTCATTTTTATAACTTAATGACGACATTGATACTCATAAAAATATAAGATATATAATATAAAATTTTGAGTGTTATTTAATTTGTTGTTTAAAATATCATAATAAACAAATTAATATCAAATAATATTTAAAATTATATAACGTGATAATAATGTTTTTCGATAATAAAAAAATATATTCTTAAGTTATTCTAAAATTTTGATAATTTTTATGACAAAAATTAAAAGATCAACATTTGTGAATTTTATAAAAAATAAATAATTTTTATAAATTTATTTTACATTATTAACCGATCAAACTCATTTAATTTATCTATTAAATCGAATTTACTAAAATTAAAATTTTATCGATTAAAATCAGATCTTAATAATAAAATCGTGATTTACATCAGATTTTAAATTTATAATCCGATTTCAAATCAAATCGATCAATTAACTATGCCTAGCTCGCTATGGAGCTACTCAACCCCAACTCTCGAACAATCATTTACTATTAATTAAATATATTTAAATTCTCTAAGTTTTTTTATATATATTTGTGACATTTAAAAGTAGTTTTGGTACAAGTGTTACAATGCCACAAATAGACATACGCCAAGTAATTTGGTTGTCTTTCTAGAATTGAAGTTGTTACCTGACACTATCTATCAGATTGCAACGGTGAAGGAGAGAAAAAATGACTAAAAAAATTAAGTGCATTGAATTGAATACTCTCAGCTTATAGTCAAGTAGAAGGAGTCAAATAATCTTTTTTTTGGGTATGTTGAAGTTTAAAAGGTTTACAAGTTTGTGAACCTAGAATTTTAGGCTTGGAATAGAAAATTTATTTATAAAATTATATATACGTGAACACAAAAAATAAGTAGGATTGTACCTAAAAAATGTTTTACAAGTCATTTTATATGATCCCTCAATCTATAAGCTATACTTCTTTTAAGGTACCATAACTTTGCAGTCACCCTTCTTTTAGTTTAACTCCCCCTTCTTCTCATGCTTAATGGAAGATGAACTTCATTGCATTTTACTGCTGTACACCACTTGTTTTTACACATCTAGTTTTATATATATATATATATATATATATATATATATATATATATATATATATATATATATATATATATATATATATATATATATATATATATATATATATATATATATATATATATATATATATATATATATATATATATATATATATATATATATATATATATATATATATATGGTGTACCTGTACTACACACAACTAATATATATGTTGTATCTAAGAGTGGCAAACAGACGCCCGTTCTGTTTATATCTATCATGTAAAAATTTATAAAAAATGGGGTGAGACGGATATAGTTGAAAGTGCGGATCTAAAATCTTACACGTCCCACAAAAAATTGAGAGCGAGACGGAGCGAGTTTGCGGGTATTGCATCTTTTAGGCCTAAAAATATAAAATTTTATGTTAATGTCTGTGCCCGTAAAAGCTCGAAAAAAACGAGGCGAGGCAGACAAACACATTAGAGGGTGTTGACCTAAAACATTGGCCTGTCATGTAAAAAGTGCGGGTAACACGGACGTCTGACGGGTCAAAACCGTTTTGCCACCCTTAGGTGCACCTATTCTAATACTCTACCACAAGTTCAAGGAGGGATGTAAGAAGCGACTATGAGTTTAGTGCAAAAATCAATAGAAATTGTCATGTTAAGTGAAATTCTGACAACAGATACTTAATGTCACAGTGAATGTTATGACACCGTATCTGACACACTTCAAGACAGTAAATTTAAAAAGAGTAAAGAACACAATCAATTGTTAACCCAGTTCAGTGTGTAACAACACCTACTCTGGGGGCTACCAAGCCAGGGAGGAAATTCACTATAAGAGATATTAATTCAGGAATAAACCAACCCGTTTATCTCCTTCACTTAAGACCTACCCAATGCAACTTCAATCTAAGTTCAACTTAAACCCGAGTTCCTACTCACTCCCCCTCAATCACAATAGTGATACTAAACTATTGATTAATGAGATTATAAAGACACTCTTCAGTACACACACTTGATTTTGCTTCACAGCTTTAATCAAGTGACAAACACTCGTGCTTCAAAGCTTTGAGTGATAAACAACCCTAACTTGATTTTGCTTCAAAGCTTTAATCAAGTGACACAAACACTCGTGCTTCAAAGCTTTGAGTGATACACAACCCTTACAATCAAATCTTACTCCAAGTCACTTATCACAATGATAATTGCTTGGCTCACAGTAGTTACAACTATACAATCCCTTATTGATCTTCTGTCAAAAAGTATATTTCACCATTAATCTTCATGAGGAATATATAGGCCGACTATTCTTCAGTTAGGGCTTCCATGAAAATAGCTAGGGTTAACTAAAGTTAACCTAAAGACTTGGTCTTAGGCTTTCATCATACCAGTTTAGGATTAAGCAAGGTTAACCTCATGTCCACGTGAGCATCTGATCTGGACTGTATATATCAACTCGGAGAAGCATATCAGATTCCTGAAAAATCTCAGGAATAACAAATCTGCACAAATGTTAGATCAGTACAGGATGTCTTAACATTGATTATGACAACAAGAATCCTGCTCACTGATTTTGGTAGAATACACTATATATGATCATTGTTTAATGATCATGATAAACACCTCATACTGAGAAGTTCCTGTATGACATTATTTTCTGCAGAATGTACCTTTATCCCAGAATGTTATGACATCAGTCATGACATTCGCAACTCTGGTTTTACCAAAAAAAATGCCAACAAACAAACACTTACAAACTCCCCCTTTGGCAAATTTTTGGCTAAAACCCCTAAACAATCAGAGATTAGAATGCAGCAGAATTTTTAATAACAACTACCAAGTCTAATTCTACCAAAATTACCACAAATTCTTCTCCCCCTTTTTAGCCATAAAGAGGCCAAAGATACTTGTACTTTTAAGTTATACAGTCATCCAAGAGGAATAAAAAAAACACATAAATAATAAGAAGTCATTTGGCAGCAACAAGTTCCAGCAGCAATCTTTTCAACAACACTGATCTTCAGGCACTGTCATCTTCCGAGGAAGCACTATCTTCAGCATTATGCTGGTCTTCATCAACATCCTCTTCCGTTATTTGTTCTTCATTCTCCTCCTGTTCTAGTCTAGCAATCAGCTCTTCAAGAGTCCTTTTTCTTGTATCAAGCTCTCTGCAGGTTTCTTTTAGCACAACTATAACATCAGTTTTCTTGGAATGAGATTTGACAGTTGATGTCTCAGCAGATGTCATAACAATGTCAGGGACATGTGTTCCCTGAAACAGCTTATAGTGCAAACCAAGAGCAGGGGCTCTTTTGCATACAGAGTCTTTTTCAACCAGAATATCAGGATACTGAGCAATGATTATACCATACAGGAGAGAGGGAAAAGCAATAGGGCCTTTAATAGCACAACTTCCAGCATGTTTCAATGTTTGATCAAAGATGTACTTGCCATAATCAAAGTTTGTCCCGGTTCTAACAGCATAGATAAATCTTCCCAATCCTGTGGAAATGGTGGATTTGTGGTTGGTGGGAACCCATTTAGCTGCACCAATTTTGTGCAGTATGGAAAACTTCATGCTCAACTTGTTTGCATTTAGCTTTCCTTTCAAGGGCCAGTGCTTGACTTGCTTGGCAGTGATGGTTTGACAAACTTGGTTGTCAGTAACTTCAAGCTCAGGTTGAGTATCATCATGCCTTCCTAGGAAATTGTTTATCACAGTAGGAGAGAAATTTACCTTTCTTCCTTTCACATAAACACTCATAAAATCAGCTGACTTTCCATCAGCACATCCATCAGACAAATTTACTATGAATTCTTTGACAAGAATCTCATAGCAGTTGGAAAACTTGACCACTGTTTTCATCAGGCCAGCAACTTTGATT